TGATCTCTGTAACTGGCAGAAGCTTTCGACAGACATGAGCCCAGGGATTTACTGAGCTGAACTGAAATCCACAAGGCACCGCTCATGAATCCAGCAGTAACGGCCTCACGTTTTCTCAAAAGAGGACGCTATATAATGTCATTAAACCTTTTAAAAGTTCTTCTGGACAAGAGTATTACTAAATCCCTCTCCAGAAAATTCTCCCTAAAAAACAAAAACAAACCTTGTTTTTAAAAATTACATGATCTTCATAAAAGTTTTAGAAACTATAAAATAAACGGCACATAAAGCAATGCCCTGTGCTAACCCACCTCATGCGATTACAAATGCTGTTTGAGACGAATGTTCTCACTAGTCTTTTTAAGATGCAAACATATACGTGTTTTATAAATTTTGAATCCCAGCTTTATTGTATGTATTCAACATCTGCTTACACGCCTACATATTTTCAAAACCACTATCTTCAGTGGCCGTCTAGTATATCCAGCAGAAGGAGGTATTATTTATTTAACCAAATCCTCATTTTTAGACATCTGCGTCATTTCGATTTTTCACTAACATGAAGATGGAAAGAGAGCTGTGGGTTTGGCCTTGTACGTACGTCTGTCCCCGTTTCTGATTATTTTCCTAGGATGGATTTTAAGCGTGGACTTTCTTTCCCGCAAACTGAATTCCAGGGTGCGGGGACTCCCACGTGCACCTGAGTGTGTGGAGGGGTTGCCTCTGAGGCTGTTGCTGAGGGCGCCGAGGGGCGGAGAGGTTAAAGAGCCGTTCGGGCAAGAGGAAGCGGGGCAACCGTCTTGAGGAGATGTGCCCCCTTCCCTGGTGCGAGCTGTGAGGGTCTGCCTGCTGTAGCGCAAATCCCACGAATGGATGGAGGTCTGACCCTGACCGCCCAAGCCCTGCTCACTTACCAGTTGCTTCCTGAGACCCTGCAACGTCTCAGGTATTGCTTTGGCACCAAAGATTCAGAATCCACAGAGCACAGGCACTTGCCAGCCAGGATCTGGCCAACTGGTGGGAGAGCAGAGAATCCAAGGTGGTGCCTGACGGTACGTGTGCTGGGAGTGCTGCTGCGCCACCAGCCTCTGTGCCCCGATGGCCAGACTGAGACTCGGAGGCAGAGTTTTGGGAGAATTAGAAAAGGACAGGTTTGTTGCTTTGCTTGCAGAGGGGACTGAGAGCAGGCTGACACCTCAGAGACTGCGAGTCCACCTTGGGTTTCGTGTCCTGAGGTTTTATAGAAAAACTGGACGGAACAGAAAGGTGGCAGCAATCAGGGCATCGTCCCGGGGGTGTATTCTTCTTAATCTTGATGAATCTACCTGGTGTCGCCGAGACACTCCGGAGGGTCTGTCCAGTCCTCTGAGGCCGTCAGCCTGTGCCCACCGTCCTGGAGCACAGCCTCTGGGCTAAAGGAGAAGCTGCTTTGGGTAAGGAGTGTGTAACGAGTGGGGAGGGTCATGGGAAGGCTGGCTGCTACTTAGCACAAAAGCAGTTGAACAAGGGAAGCAGAGGTGGGGGTTTGTCAGAGAAAAGAGAAAAACAAATTGCGAGAATTTTAGGTCAGAATGGATCAACAAACAGCATTAGCATCAGGGAAACCGTTTTGTTAGTGTCCTACTCTTTCAGGAGGCACGGCTGAGCCTCAGGGGATGTGGTGCCCAGGCCTACCTCAGGGCACGCTGGGACGGGGTCCCAGAAGAGGGACTTGGGAAATGGGTTCTGAAGGATGAATAGGAGTTCACTAGGTAGAGAAGGGCAGGCGAAGCAGAGGAAGGCCATCTAGACAGTGTGAGCAAGGGGGTGGTGGTGCAGAGGCCGGGCAGGGCCCAGGGATTGGGAGGGCCCAGGGGGAACAGCCGGGCTGGTACGCAGGGTGCAGTGGTTTTCTCATGCTGTTGTAACAAATCACCACAAACCCTGGGCTTAAAATAACACAAACTTATCATACAGTTTTGGAGGGGAGAAGGCTGATATGGGTCCCACTGGTTGAAATGAAGGTGCCAGCAGGGCTGATTCCTTTCCTGAGACGTTAGGGGACGCTCTTTTCCTTGCCTGTTCCAGCTGCCTCCAGCCCTCGGCTCCTTTCCGCTGTCTCTGAAGGCACCAGCGTTGCCTCCCTCTGACCCCTCTATCGTTTCCCATCGCTCTCTCTAACCATAGTCTGGAAAGGTGCTCCCTTTTAAGGACCCATGTGATTTGATTAGGTTCATTTGGATAATCCAAAATAATCTTTCCACCTCAAAGTTCTTTTTTAAAAAAATTTCTAATTTAATTTAATTTAATTTTTTCATTGAAGTACAGTCAGTTTACAATGTGTCCATTTCTGGTGTGCAGCATCATGTTTCAGTCATCCACATA